AGCTTAGGCGATTTTATGCAATGATGAATTTTTTAGATTTACCATACCTTTTTTGTAGTTGATGTGCTGATGTTCCAGTGATGCATGTCCGATTGAATGTAATGCTAAAATATAAGATTTTATTTTAAGATATTTTGATATAGGTTTCGACAGCACATACGATATGTCTATGTTTTTTTACACGGGTCACTTTTCGTTTACGCGATACCATCTTTGGATTAAGAGTTACCTGCTTGTTCAGCTAGATTCCTACTTTGATGTCGAATATAAATGCAAGTTTCAAAAGTGATTAGCAATGCTAGTAGCAGAAAAAAAAATTCAATTATAATTTGTAATTGAGAGCTGACTGTCATATGGCTACGGCAGAAAGGCAGAAAAAAAAATTTCTATTATAATTTATAATTGGCATACGGTCGTCACGTAACTACAGTAGCAAGGAAACATAATTGATTCGAATTATACTTGACAATTAAAATATGATTATCATATAATGATGGCAGAAAGTTAGACAAAAATAATTGTTTATGATTGTCACATTCGCGTTGGTATTCAAAAAATGGTAATGCAAACGCATTAGCTTTTTCTCAATACTACTGCTAACATGACGCTGCTAGTGGTAATTACTGTGTACAAAGAGACATGTATTAGTCACAGTTCTTCTGGATGGGGGTTAGTGCTTAACGCTGCGACGCTTATATGAAAGGTCGGTTACAGAGATGGACAAGTCAGAGATTTTTCGATTTCAAGTTAAAGCATTTTTTGAGAGATTCAAGTCACACGTTTTCAAGTCAAATTTAGTCAAAACTCAATTTGAAGTGTTTTTTTTTTCAAGGATTCTATTCATTATTAAAAAAACAAGTTACTGTAGCTTTCATTCTGCAATAAAGACAATTGAATTTATAACAAAATTTCACAATAACGAAAAAAAAATAACTGAAAGAAATCTATTCATGAATATCTTGACTTACGCTTACAAGAAGCATGAAAAATAACGGAGATCATTTGTAAACGAGATGGTCAATACAAGTTGCGCAGATTATTTACTTATGGCAAAGTCGTCGGGTCTTTTTTTCATCTTTTAGTGTGTTTACAGAAATATTTGCTAATTTTTATGAATATTTTTCTTTGACATTTCATATAAGGCGTAAAAGACAATGTGAGTAAGCATTCTCTACATATATAATCTGTTCAAAAATATAACAACAGACAATTTTCTAACGCTTTTATTATATGAGTATTATAGTCACATGTTATATTCCTTGACTCATCGATATTTGTTTATTCAGCTCGCATTCCTTGATGCTTTATTCTCTCTTATATAATATTCTCTCTTCTCTCGCTTGAGTCAGTGATAGTTGTTAATTCCAAATAAAATCGAACTATAAGAAAGAAGCAAGAGGGGACCTCTGATAATGAGTTTACTTTTTCTTATTCCTAACAGTTATTTCTATATACATATATGCGTTCAGTTGCGCTCTATCCGAAACTGATGTTAGATATCCACATTTCGCATGCCAGACCTGAAAAAATGCATTTTTATAAAAACTCGTACAATTTTAGGTGTACATTAAAAGTGTCAATCAAGCTCAGATTATTGGCTATTAAAACCAAAATCTATATAGGATTGCTTTTTCTATAATCTCACGCCATAAAAGAGACTTTTTGCTACAAAATGAAAGGTCATCAAAACTTGAGAATCATTGTGTTAGAAAGAATGGTGCCATTTTTCCAATTTTAAATTGTGTACATCGGCAATTATAAGCAAAATTTGATACGAAAATTCTTATTTGTTATTAAATTGATATTTTCTTTCTAACAGAATGATTCTCGGGCATCGAAGGTTTTTCATTTTGTGACAAAAAGTGTCTTGTATGGTATGAAACTATAGAAAAAGCAGTTCCTTATCTATTTTGATTTTTATAGCCAAAAATCTGAGCTAAACTGGCATTTTTTATGTATATCCAAAATTATATGAGTTTTTATAAAAATGCGTTTCCTCAGGTCATACATACGAAATAAGGACATCTGACTTCAGTTTAGGATAGAGTGCAATTGAATGCTTGTACTCATATGGATAAACAATTATCAATAAGAAAAAGTAAACTCATATATAATAAAAGTGCGAAAAAAAAAATGTCTGTTCTTATATTTTTCGTCACTACTGTATGTTTTTTTACTTGACTTGTCCCCTTCTGATTAGGTATTGCAGAGAAAAGTGTTTCTCCCGAGTAAACATTCAAGATGAGAATTTTGAGTTATGGAATGAAGAAAAAGAAAATGAGATATTTTCAAAAAGATTTAATTTTTTCTTTTTTTGGTTCTAGTTACATGATAGCTTTATTTCAATTGTAAATTATAATTTGAATGAAATTTTTTTATTTGTACTAGAGAAGTGTCAATTTATTTTTTTTCATTGATATTCGAATTCATCTTACGTTGTCGAAGGCTCATTTATATTCAATTTCGAATGAGGCAACTCATGGTGTGTGTCGCAGTTTTGAACATATAATGACTGGTAAAATAAAATATTGATCAAGGCATAATTGTTTGAGAAAGGCAAGACTGATGCGATTCTATGTGTTTCAAGCAAACACAAAGCCTTCTTCAAATTCAATTTTCAGCTCACTATAAGAATAAGAGAAATTGCAAAGATAACTTACAATGCCATTGCCATTGCATATTGACCAAGCATAGCTGCAATATGAATACGCTCCTCAAAAAATCCTCAAAAAATGCATTTTGTTTTTCTTTGCGAATGACTAGTTGGTTGTTGTTTCACTGATTAAAGCTTCCCTCCTGAAAAAAAGCCAATTTTCGTAAAAAATAATGAAAACTAAGATAAATGCATGAGAAGATAGTATGATGTCTAATATTTCATAAATGACATGTTCTTTTTTTTGGCATCCTCTTTTTTGTCAAAACTTTTGATGATTACTGTCGCTTTCTGCTTGAAAAATAAGCTGTTTTTTCCTTATATATATTTAATCGCACAACCCAGAATTTTCTTTAGGTTCTCATTCTATGTATTTGTTTTTTTTTGGTTTGACAGAGCAGGTCAAGATGCAGTGCCGTCCAGAGTCATTTTTAAGGGTGTGGGTGTGGGTGGGTGTGGTGTAGGTGCGTGGTATGGGTGTGGGGTGCGGGTGTGGGTGTGGATGTCGTTGTTCATCTGCTGTTACTTTGGACCCACACCCACATCCTAACGAGTAACAATATAGTTACCCGTTGCTGGTAGTATAACGGTAATTTCTCTCCCTACTCAATATTTTGCATTTTTCCTCAGGAAAACTTTATCAAATCGAAAAAATAAGAACATATTCGTGATCAGCGTCAAAAGCTGAATCTAGTGATGTAAGTTTCAACTAAAAGTAAACGTGCTCAAGTTTTGCATTACTGGCATCTTATTAAGGATATAAGATCTTTAAATCCACCTGATGAAGTCACCGCAAGACAGAAACAATCGTTCGTCGTATAATGGGCTATTTCTACTCAACCTCACCATCACTATAGTCGTAGTACTTCTTAAACATAATACTCACCCTCATCGTCACAAGTTTTTGTCGTTTCTGAAGTTATTTACAGAAGTCAGATGAACCATGAGAGATGCATGTCGTTTTTCCAAATATAAAGTATCTCATTTTACTCAGAGTTTAATGTTAAGTAAGAATATGTAATTCTTTTTGAAGAGCATTTAGGGTGAAAAAATGACTTGAACCCTACTGGTCCTTTTATTTTCTATTTTCTTCAATTGATTTCTTGTTGAACAAATGAAAATTCACAAAATAAAAAACAAATTTTCATGTATCAATTTAAACCAATAATCTTAATTATGGACGTGCAATTTCAGTGGAAATACCGAAGCACTGACTACAGTGAAACGCTAATGGCACTACAACTTCGATTTTTATTTTCATACATACATGGTGGCCCATAAATGACTTGACGATAAAAAATTTCAATATCTTCACGAAATGTCGACCGAATCAGATGAAGCTTTTTACTGATAGAAACTACTTTAAATTTTTCTCCATCTGATAATCGTCAACAAACAGGATGTTGAGGTAGCAGAATCCACCTCAAAACCTCTTTTTACCTGTTATTCGCTGTAAATGCTACAAAATGATTCATAGGCATCGCAGAGACTCTCCTTTCTACATGCAAAGTCAGAAAATGCAAAGTCGTACTAATGCACAAGAATTATGGCCATATTTCATCGTATAAGATAAAGATACTGCTCATACACAGCACGATATCATTACAGAATGTTGAAAAATGACGACTGAAGTTTCATTGTATCGTTTGTCGCACTGCAATGATATATCCACTTGGAACATAAATTCTACACGTTTGTTTTTGGTTTTTAGGGGAGTTTTAGGCCTTATATTTTGTGACTAGGAAGAGATATAAATTTGAAATTTATAGAGTTAATAGAGCTTTATGAGTTCTACCTACACTAAAAATTTCAGATTTATATCTCTTCCTAATCACGAGATATAAGGTCTAAAACTCTTCTAAAAACCAAAAAAAAACTTGCAGAACTTATGTTTCGAGCGCATAGTACTGTGCATGAGGAGTATCTTCATCTTATACGATGAAATATGACCACAATTCTTGTACATTAGTACGACTTTGCATTTTCTGACTTTGCATGTAGAAAAGAGAGTCATTGTAATGCCTATAAAGCATTTTGTAGCATTTGCAGCGAATAACAGGTAAAAAAGGCTTTTGAGATGAATTCTACTACCACAACATCCTGTTTGTTGACGATTATCATATGGGAAAAAATTTTAAAGTAGTCACTATCAGTAAAAAAACTTCATCTGATTCGGTCGACATTTGGTGCAGATATTGAAATTTCTTAACATCAAGTTATTTATGGGCCACCCTGTATTTATGTAAGTAAAAATCGGAGTTCCAGTGCGATTAGTGTAGTCCTTTAGTTAGTGTATCGCTATCTGAAACGTTGGTGGACACTTAACTGAAACTGCGCATCTATAATTTTAATTGTTATTGATTTCAAATTTAAGAATTCGACCAAAAGCAGAATCGGCAACATAAAGATTGCCTTTTTGATCAAATGCTAAACCTGTAGGTTCACCTAATGGTTTGGATAGGTTTCCTCCACAGTTTATACCAATAACATCAGTTCCTTCTTTTTCTCCTTCAATCCAACACATCACATGACGTCTTCCGGTTGCCACATAGATTTGACCCAACTGATCGACAACAACTCCCCGAGGATTAGACAATCCTTTTAAACTTATTCTCATATGCTTCCCACCAGCAACAACAATTCCTTCTTTTGCATCTTTTGTCCATTTTATTACACGATGATTGCCACTATCTGATACATACAATGAATTATCTCGATCAACGAAGATAAAAGTAGGATTATTGAGTTGATTGAGATCATTTCCATTTCCATTTCCACCCGCTACGACTGTTCCATTTTCCTCTCCTATTTTCCATCGTTTAACTTCATTCTTCTCCGTATCAGAGACATAAAGATATCCATCATTATCCATTGCTAATCCATAACAATCAATATCCGAAATAATTATTTGTCCATTGGTATTATTTTGACGAGGCCATTGCATCACTCGCCTGTTTATTTGATCAGAAATGATAAAAGAATCATTTTGTTTATCAATAATTACATCTGTTGGCCAACTCAATTGATTCAATTCACTGCCTTCTTGATTTCCACCTGCAACAATTTGCCCAGTGTTTGAATTAGATTTCCATGCAACGATACGGTGATTACCATTATCAGCAATATAAATTGTTTGATCATCATCAAGACATAAGCCTAAAGGATGAGCTAGCTGATTTAGTTCATCGTCTGTATCAAGAGAAAAATTTCCTCCAGCAACAGTAATTCCATCTTTGTTCCATTTTGTATCTAAATGAAAATTAAATTGTTGAAAAGAAAAGATATTCTTCAAAATAAATTGACCACGACGGTTAAACAAACATTTTATTTTATTAAAAGAGAAAATGAATAAACATTTGAGATAAAAATTAAATTTTGAACCTTTTTTAAATATACAAAAGAATATTTTTTATTTCGATGTCATTTTAAAATCTAACAAATCTTTTAGAGATACTTATTTAATTATTTTCTAAAACAATTTTTATTTTCAATTAAAATATTTAAGAATAAATTATTTTATTTTTTTTAATTAAAATAGAAATAATCTTTACTTTATTTTCAAAGTTTAATCAAGCTAATAATGTCCAACATAGATCAACTTTTTATGAGTCGACTCCAAGTGGAAAGCGTTTTTATTGATTTCACCCGATCCAAGTCAGACACTGGGATCCAATACTTATATATTCACTTTTAAACTTGAGATTTTTCAAATTTAGTTTGTTTTATCTCAATTATGGTATTAAAATATGTGAAAAATTAATCATCAATATCAAGTATTACATCTGGAGTCATTCATAAAGAGCGTACAGATATGAAAAAGCATTTTTCTGATCCCCTCCCCTCCGTCCAGGAATGTCTGTTTTTAAATTACGTTGCTGTACTTTAAAGTACTTTTGACGTAATTTTATCATACTTTGGAGTACTTAATGTCTATTGTTTCTCCTTGACTTTTATAAGTTACATAAAATTGTTTTTCTCATGTTCATGACATGCACATATATCAAGATGTGTTTATATTATAGAAATTTATTGCAGAAGAAGTTCATGTGGAGGAGCAAAAAAACGTGCAACTGCATGGGATCTGCACTTTGAAAATGCTACTAAAAACCGATTTTACTTGAAATTTTCGCGAAAAATGTCTGAAAAACAGTAAAAAGTCATAGTAAGCGTCTGAATATCCAGATATGCTTGACACTTCCTCCTTCCCAGAAGTGTGCGTTTTTCACGGATCACCGATTCTTTGACTTGGCATTCTTTCTGGATAGTTTCCTATTTTTTACTTAATGGTAAAAATATGTGATAATGAAGATAGAAATAATCAATATAATAACTGAAAAGATTTGTAAATTTTGACACATTAATTCTGAACTTGTATCTCTACCTAAGAATAAAAAAAAGTGTTTTTTTTTATTCTTATAACTACATCATTATTTAGGAGAATAGTCATAAAAATCAATCTGAGATATGAAAATATTACGAAATTATTTTTGAATAACTTACTCATGGTTTTCTTCCGATTATAATAAATGAAGATTTGTTATCGTTCTAAATCAAATAATATAATAGAGTACACCTCAATTGATTTTTACCTTTTTTACTTCTTTTATTTGTTATTCCTATATTTCTTTTGATTATTAATCGGTTATGTATAGGGAAGAAACTCGAAACGCGCTGCATCTTGTAGTGTATGAGTGAATTGCAACTATTTGGTACAATTGTGTTTTTGAAGTTTTTCTGTTATAACTTCGATTCCTATCGTCCAATTAAGAAATTTCTTTTTTTTCTTTTCTTTCTTTCTACTTGTTCAAACAATTCTGAAGTTTTCAGATCCCTAGTACATAACCCCGTTGAGACATACACGTCGAAAGCTGGAAAAACTCCCTTTTGTGAAACACGATTGAAAAGAAGTGTTGAAGTATAAGGATAGAAAAAGCTAACCCCCTACTCTGCCTCACTGACCGTGACAGATACAGGATCATCAAGTACTTGTCAGTCATTATTTGTTTTTTTTCCTATTTTCCTGTTATTTCTCTCTTCTCTTTTGATTGATCACTTTCGCGCCTTTTTTTTTTAAATTTCGTTTTATAGTATGTTTCTTGAGAATTAGATATTTAATCAAAGAATTTCTGTGAAGAATCTACTTCGGTGCTTCATCATATAATGTCATTACTAACTGTACAACCTTAGATAAAGAAAGTGAGGACTCAAGCAATGTCATACATCTTTAGACACAATTTATCATGCTTGTTTATTATGATAAATCAAATCTATTGATACAGCTATTCTTCAGGTTCGATAGCTCCATCGTGTTTCACATTATTATCCTGAAGGGATTGCGCTAACAGCTCTTTTGATGAAACATCGTAATAAGAATGAGTTTCATAAAGAAGGTAAGAAATAAAAAGAAAATCTCTACAGCACTTTTTGTTCAGCATTCAATAGGCTATTTAATTCTATTATTCACTAGTGCAATTCCTTTTTTCTTTCTGATCCTTTATTATTAAATTCCTTTTGCGTACACAGTGTAAGATGATATTGGATTGAGTGTGGAGTGCACAGGTACAGACTCTTTTAGGACACTGAATGTTCCATTAGAAACTGCACCGAATTTACTCTAAAATACATGTTCAAATCCTGTAATAATTTTCTTTAGTAGATCAAAAAAAAATGAAAACTAAATTTATCACTGACTTTGTCGGCTGAAATTTTCGAACCTGAGAAGCCTGTACCTCTTGAATGATCCGTCCGATTCTGATGAAACTTATATACAAGATAAACTACAAAAAGTTGCATAACTAGAAAAAATTTCATTATTCAGCCATGCTTTATTCTAAAAAAATTTACATTTTACGGCAAAATGTAGGGCAAGATTTGCTTTTGAAAATTTTCGGTTATTTCACGGTAAAGTTATTAGTACTATACACTGTTCTATTCGCGGTAGCAAACTTAATACATCTACATATTTCTCGACATATTATAACACTACTGATCAAAGCTGAAGTAAAGAGATTTATCTAACAACCCTTCTTTGTAGAGCCCCTTAATGACACTTTTAAGCTATTTCTTGTGCGTGACTATGCGAATGCACTGTTTGTTGCAACCATTAGAGTGAGTATGCTGTATAATATGTGAGTCTTTGTACCGATTCCAAGACCTTTTTCTTCAAACTCCTCGCGGATACAAAACAACCAAAATGTACACTTGAATATCTTCGCCAGTAAGCGGCTATTTATTGGGAAATTTTTACAGAATACTCAGATAATGGTGAAGAGAAAAATGCACAAATCAAATTTTCTCTAAGCCAACTTTCAATTTTTTTCGTTAAATGTTCAAAAAAGTCACGATCCACTTATTTTTATGTTGAACAACAACTGTAGCTTAACCCGTTGGCGGGAGATGGTACATTTAGGTGCCACTTTTTTTCTTTTTATTATCTCTCCTCTCTCAGCCTCACCCATCCAGAATTTGCTCGTCAAACAGTTAAAGTATAAAAAGTGCTTTAGAAAAATTAGTGACATTTTCTAATACAATAAAAGTATCTTTGGAATAATTTTTGATAAAAATAAAATCGAGATTTGCGCTTTTCACCGTTCGAAAGAAGAGATGAATCTGCATCGAATCCTATAACTCAGATTCTTCTGACAAGATTTTCCATAGTATTCAGTCAAGTGTTTTAGAAGAACGACGCGTTAGAGAGAAGAAGTGAATTTTTGTTTAAAAAATACGAAAAAACGTCGATTTTTCTAAGAACCCTCACTGAATACTCTGAAAAAGCTTGTCAATATAAAGTAAAATGTATGATTCGATGCAGATTTATCTTTTCTTCTGAATGATGAGAATCGCAGATCTCTATTTTATTTTTATGAAAAGTTATTCGAAAAATACTTTTATTGCAGCAAAACAAAAATGTCACTATTACTTCAAACTTTAGTTGTTGTTCAACACAAATATATCATAAGATGCAGCGCGTTTCTGGCTTTCTTCTTATATATATATATATATATATATATAGCAGAATACTAAACAAACGAAATATAGTAAGAGAAAACAAATGGATGAAAAGCAATCGAGGTGTAATGTATAAGAATATTTACCGTTTGAGGAAAATCGATAAAATATCCAACTATCGTTTGTACCTTTTATTTTATATAATAACATTGTTTACTTGTTTCTAAAATATAACTTGCTTTTTCTTTCGTTAGCACATGGTAAATCTATCTTTATTTTTCTTCTCTTCTGTATTTTTCTTTTCATGGACACAAAAATATAAAAAATACAACATGCAAGATGAGGAATATATATATATGTATATATGTATAATACGTAATTGCAGCATCAGAGAGCGAAAACGAATCGAACCGCAGCGATATATAAAAAGCAAAGATGAACTGCAGACAAGCCCCACATAAAAAATAACTGATTGAATTATAAGCGAATTTGAAAAAAAGTGTGACGTGGTCGGTAAAGATGATATATGACACGGTTAGTCTCTGTTGAACTCATTTAAAAGACCTACACCCATCATCAGTAATCTAATTTAATGCTAACATGGGAATGGGGTACGGATATTATACTCATCCGTCACCCTCATTCTCAAACAATACCACATCCACCATTTTCACCATATCTTTCACCATGTGACTTTTGGTTAAATGTTTACATCAAGAACAATTTGACTGATCAAGCAAACGAAAAATCGCTAGTTCAGGCGATTACCAAGATAGTGAAGAATATTCCAGAAGAAGAATTTAAAAAGCTTTCGACAAATTGTTAGCCAGGATGGAACTGTGTATAAATAATAATGGTGACTATTTTAAGCATTTGATAAAATAAGACTAAAAATATCTCTTGCTTTTTATATTTTTATTTGATCTTATCAGAACTTTTGGTCAGCCCTATAAGCATCATCTTCAAGGAATAAATAAATAAATAAATTTTCCTTTGAATGAGGAAATGAATAAAATATACTATTAATTTCTAATTGTAAATTTTGTTGAGCAAATATATTTAATATTTGACGAACAGAAATTAACATTTGACAAAGATCATTTTGATTTCCACTATATAAAATATGAACAAATGGATTCGATCTTATTTCATTATTATAATCAAGATTTGCTATTAGAGAAATAATATTATTCATATCTACTATAACATGATAAATTTCATTCAGTTGTACAATCAAAGGAGGGGGTCGTTTTCTGGGTAAATCGGCCCTCTAATCGAAGGGCTTCTTTCTCATTTAAAACGGTCACTTTTAACATCCTGAACTCAGGTTCTTGAGGGTGTGTGGTCATTCAATTTACTAACACATCAAGATGAAGGAGAACCTCTTATAGTCTATTATTGGAAGTTACTCTTAACTTTTCGGTAATAGTATAGTATGATTATTATTAGCTTGGAAATTTTTCTCGAAAAACGTTCAACTAAAGTAATTCATAGTAGAAGAGTTATTATTAACATCCTTTAATCATAAGCAATTGATAAGTGATTACTTTAGCAGTAATCGAAACGCCTCTTGCTAGCTTTTGATTTGATTGAGTAATCATTCAATTTACTAATACACCCACATCCACACCCTATATGATCAATAAGTTAACTTATCTATTGAATGTGCTGATACATTATACTGTTATTCATATACACTATAATAGATTATAATAAAGCTGATATAGATGTATGAATATTTTATGCTGATGTTTTTTTCGTCTGATGATGGTATCTGAGAAATAGATACCGAAATATCACGTTTATGATTTATGTCAAAAAATTTTAGCTGTTTTTAATTTTTATATTGTGTTTCATCTTACATAATTGTCCATATTTCACTTTTAATACACACATTTACTTGGAGATCTTGTTTGTATCAAACTCCTCATTCAAGAGCATTCTCTGATTGTCTATTTTGATGTGCAATCAATTTGTGTAGTTGAACAGTTGAAAGTCCATGAGATGAAAATGGCTTCAAATTCTCACTTTACTCTTATACTTCATGGAATACGAGAACATGTCGTTTTCTTGTTGACGTTTCGGCTTCCATCAGGTTTTTCTACGACCAAACTCGTACATAAACATCAAAACAGTTATTAATCTTATATTATCTATTTCAGGAATGTAATTCATATTAATCGGCGTGTTCAGTTGAAATCTGTACGTACTAGCAACGACAATTAAATATCGGTAGTATTATTGATTTCATTTTATCCAGATCCATACCAAAAAATTAATTTTATTAATATATGCAACAAAATATTAAATATTTCGCTGGAATCATTGAAAGTTTTTATTATATCTCTACTTAGAACATGATCTGAATGCAGTTCATTTGCGAACAGAGAATAACTGAGATTTTCTTTTCCTCTCTGATCAAAATACTGTTGCTAAATTGTCATCAAACTTCAACGTAATAAGCACTGCTCTCGCAGTTTTTTTCACTTACATTTGATTACTAGCATGTGCCATGTCAAACGTTCCTTTTTACCATCTATTATTATTTTTTTTACATCAAATCAACTATTTGAAACGTCATTTTATTAGTGGTTCTTATTCTAGAAAAAGCGTATCCCATTTCAATGCACTTTTCAAATCTAATTGTCATTTCCCATACAACTTTTATCACCATATTTTTGTAACCATTTAAGTTCTTCTCGAACTTTGATTTTTCCATGCCATGGATTGTTTCGTAATGAATGTCCTTCATTCGGAAAAACTAATAATTGAACAGGTACACCAAGATAATGTAATCCACGTTCCAATATAAAACTTTGACTAGCAGGAACTCGAATGTCACCTGCTCCAGTAACAATGTGCGTCGGCGTACACACTTTATCCAGTTGATTAATAAGAGATTCCCTTTCAAAAGTGTCCGATGCATTCCATGGAAATCCACCAAACAAATAATCTATAAGCACAGGAAAATCCATAATACCCCAAGTAGAAACGTATTCAACTGGTCCAGCACCTGAGAGAGCAGCATTGAAACTTGTCGTTTGTGTTATCAGCCAGTTGGTTAGAAAACCACCGTAGCTGTAACCACCTACAGCTAAACGATTTCGATCAACAATACCATCCTGAATCAAACGATGGACACCAGAAAGAATATCTCTTCCTGGTCGAGTTAAAGGTTGATAACGAATTTCATTAAGAAACTGATCACCATATCCTGTTGATCCTCGATAGTTTGGTTCCAATACTAACCAACCTTGCGTAGCTGCCAATGGTGCCCACAAACCTGCACTGGCATGTAATTGATTGATATTTGCTGAATATGGGCCACCATGAATAAGTACGAGAAGAGGCAAATTTGTTGATTCGAACTTTTCAGGTGGATAATGTAGAAGTCCTTCAATTGTACGATCATCTTCATCGCTTGTCCATTGATAAGTTTTTACTTTAGGTAAATTTCGTTCAGTAAATAATTTATTTTCGTTTGTTATTAATTTAGCAGATGTAAGTCGGTTTATGTTGTCAATAACATAAACTTCTTTGGGTTGTCCATAAGATGAATAAACAAAAGCAATCGCACTCTTCCCGTGAAAGGATATTGATGATGACGAAATCGATTCATATGTTCCATTCCATCCACGATGCAAAACTGTATATTTTTTCGAAGATTGCTGTGTGTAGATTTGAACATTAGTTCCTAATTGTCCAAGTATATAGACTCCACCATCAGGTCGTATAACGTATTCCATAATGTGACCATCAAAGTCTTTTGCTAGACGTTGAGTTTGTCCACTTGTTAGATCCAGCGAATATAATCTTTCTTGAGTAATGATATTTGCACTATTGGTCGATTCTGGACCCGCTGCACGAAATAGAACATGTTTACCATCATTGGACAATTTTAAATCTGTTTCGAACACTTCATTCGTTGTTAATCTTGATAGTGATGATGTATTGCAAAGATCGATTGAATATATTTCAAAATCATTCCTCTTTTCAAAGATTCCTTTGACTGATGTAAAAATAAGTTTCTGTTCACATAATGAAAATACGAGTTCACCAATTTGAAAAGGAACATTTTGGACAATATTGAGATTTGTAGATGTTTGTCGATTTTTTCGATTAATACTCACATGATAGATCGTACTTTCATCAGTTGCTTTTCGTTTTCGATATTGAATGACATCTTTCCATTCCATATCATCTATATAATCATTTTCTTTTGTTAAATTTGATCGACTTGTAGCAAAATAAAGAGATGAATCATTGTTGGCCCATGTTATAACAGATGGTGCTTTTGATCCGATTGGAATTGGTATCAATCGTTCTGATACGGTACAATATAGATACATGTACTGTTCTGTTTGAGAGTGACTGTTAGATGAATGACTTAAGTCTGTAGTTTCATTCATGGTATTTGTATTTGATTTCTCGTTCAATAACAATACAACCCAATTTCCACTTGGTGACCATTTTGGTTTGAAATTTTCTGATAATTTTTTGGTGATCAATTTTTTTTTATTTCCTTGTGTTTCATAAAGCCAAAGATTGTTTTCATATGAGTTCAAATTCCATAATGGTCGTCTCGTATGAACTAGTAAATGTCGACCATTTGGAGAAATACTGACCGATGGAAAATGAACGTAATTGAAAAATTCATCGAATGTAAGGGTTGGTTTCATTGGTATTGACGCAGACAAAACAAATGGGAAAAACAATAGTAATGGTGATATCATTTTGATTCTTCCTGACAACCTAAAGTAATAAGAAGATATGTACCGTTTTGGATGAACTTTGATAGGTTGTATCAGATAAAGGTTTCATGCGAACTGAAGATATTATACGAGACGATTTAGAACGAACTTTTTATATCTATAACATAGAAAAAACAAGGAATGAAAAAAGAATTTTACTCAGCTTAAGTAGTGTTTGCCTTCTTTATTACACTCCATCTTGATTGTTTATTGAAAATTAAACTTATGTGTTATTGAGATAGCAAAATGAGTTATAATTTTACTTGTTGAACAAAAGAGTTCAAAAATGAATACATTCAAACAACAAGGAAAACTAACTTCTGTCTCACATCAAATGCTTTCATTCAAGGGACTAACTTCATAATATTCATGCGTTATCTATTCCGGCTCAGTCCTTTTGATCCATTCTGTTGTTCCCAAATTGAATATAACAAACGATAACTCAATGATGCCTTAAACTGAAGTTTATTGTCAAGCAAGGGGTGTCATGAAATGTTGTTTTTAAAAGGTTTTTCTCAACAATTCATGGTACAAGAGACCAGGTACTCTGCCAATAGCTCAAGTATTCATATTGAAAAATAAGGAAATATTGAGAACAAAATAAAGCCTACACATACCCTTATTCTGTAAGATATTAGTATGTCTTAGTTTTGTGAACTGCAGATATTTATGTCCATGAAGTTTTATAATCCTATCCTTGAAACATGGCGAACACACCTGTACGTATATGTGACACCTTTCGAATAGATTAAAGAGAAGAGTATATACATTCGTTGCTGCAGTGAACTTTTTCTTACTTTTTGATTTTATATGTTGTCCTGTTATTGTGTTCTCTCGACAAAAAGACATGACATTTTTTTTTTGTGATCAAGTAAACGAGAGACCAAAATGGTGATTATATCAACAGCTTTTATTGAATGTGCTAGTCTCACATTGGTATGATACTTGAGTACATAGCCTTTTGAATATAATTGCTTTTCAAACGACAATTTAACATCAAGACTCTAATCTTATATATGATTATATCATAAAAAAGCCTTTTATGTCTGCACAAGATTAGCTCAGAAAGACTTATTGATTTGAAACTTTTCGTCATGCTACTAATCAATGCACGAGAATTTTGACAATCTGGACCTAAAATTTGGATATGCGTGCAGAGAAAACCCACACTCACACCCACCATTCAAGGCACCCTATCAATAGATTAGGTAACTATACGAGAAAAAAAAAAGAAAAGATTGATAGCAGTTTGAAATTGATATATACCATTATTCTGTTCACTATTACCCTCTCATTGTCTTGTAAACTGCGGATATTCGTATCCAAGACTTTTTATAATCCTTTGATATATATTTATGACAAACGCACCTGCATGTATATAAGACAACTCTTGAATGGATTGAGGAATAGTAACTATTGTCGAATTTTTTTTAAAAATTCCAGC